GACTGGAGCGGTGGGAATAAGTGCATTTGAGATGGCTAGGTTGGCACAGGATAGAAGAGCATATAGAGCTCTTGTACATAGGGTCGCTATGAGTCGCAAGCGACTCGATGGCACATAACAACAACAACATCATGATGTTGCATTTTGGGCCAGTGATAAGAATTTTTGTTTTCTTCACATTGAAATGCAATCCATATTGAAGGCTGTGAAGGATTTGATCTTCCGCAACAAGTGCTTCTGTCCTCCTCACTTTCAACAAGCAAAGTTGTGTCATCTGTACTATGCAGGCTTTTAATAAGTTTTCCTCTGATCTTGATATTACTTCTTCATAAATTCCAGCTTCTCAAATAATTTGCTCAGCATACAGATTAAATAGGCATAGAGAAATGATACAACCCTGACACCCTCCCTTGCTCACAGAAACTGAGAAGGACCTGAAGCATTTGCTGCAGAAGGTAAAGACTGCAGTCTTCAATATGGATTGAAGCTCAACATCAAGAAGACAAAGATTCTCACCACTGGGCCAACATCACGATAGATGGAGAAGAGACTGAGGTTGTTAACAATTTCCCCTTGCTCAGTTCCAAAATCTTGGCAGCAGCAATCAGGAAATAAAAAGAATAATTGCTCTGGGGAAAACAGCTGTCAGGGACCTCTCAAAAGTGCTGAAGAGCAACAATGTTAGTCTAGAGACTAAGATATGCCAGATTCAGGCTGTGGTCTGACACACAAGAGCCTACTGTGACAGAGGAAGTTTAAGTTGTGGTGCTAGAGAAGAGAAATGAACATATCATGGACTGCCATGAGAACAAGTCTATTCTGGAAACAATGAAAACAGACTGTTCTTTAGAGGCAAGGATTTTGATGCTCTGCCTCACATACTTTGGGCTTGTAGCCAGGAGGGACCAGTCCCTGGAGAAGGATATCATGCTTGGAAAGGCAGAGGGACAGTGCAGGAGAGGAAGACCTGGGATGAGATGGATTCACACAGTAATTGGGGTAATCATGATAGTTGTGTCAGAGGCAGTGCAGTAAGACTTCCTCAGAATAGAGCACAGTTCAGAGCTATTGTACACAGGGTCGCTATGAATTGCAGGCAACTCAGTGGCACATAACAACAACAGTTGCTCTGTTCATAAAACATCTTGGTCTGGGTATTGGTTTCCTATGAGCACAGTTAAGAGCTCCCGGATTCCCATTCTTCTCAAAGTTAGCCACAACTTGTTATGATCCACACAGTCAAATGCCTTTTCATAGTCAATAAAGCATAAATAAGACATTCTTCTGGTATTCTTTACTTTCAAACAGGATCCATCTGAATTCCAAATGCCAAGGGCTCTTTTAAATCCTGCTTGAACTCCTGGTAGTTCCTATCCATGTACTGTTCTAGCCATTTTTTAATTATCTTCAACAGTGTTTTGCCGAATGACTGAGAATAGAGCATATTATGTATAGCTTTATAGGTAATTGTAGTTGATTTGATGTCAATTAAGTAGATAAATTTGAAGAATCTAGATTTTATTCTAAACACAACCCATTGGGATGCTATAAGAAAGGGAAACTATAACATTTTAACGATGGGGTTTCCCCCCCTCCTCCCCCGTGTAGTACATGAACTCTAAGGCAGAGATAGGTAGTGAAAACAGGACAGTTAAGAGGCTGTTATAGTTTCTGGGGGAATCATGCTGGTGGTTTGGGTTAGGGTGGCAACAATAAATAAGGAGTCTTAATTGTCAAGAGCTACTTTAACAGACAGTAAAAGTATATGTATTTAATAAACAGACTTTTGTGGTCTTTTTTCGGAGGCTAGAAGTCCATTCAGAGTGTCAGCTGTAGGTAGGGGAAGGCTGGCTCTGTTGGCCGTGGAGGAAAGTCCTTGCTTCCTTCAGTCTTTGTAGGCCCTGGGTTCCCTTGGAGACATCCATGAATTTCTGGCCTTCCCTAGTACCAGGGAGTTTTGTCATGCAGGTGGCCCAGGTCCAAAAAGGCTCCACTCTTGGAAATTATTTCTTAGTGGTACTAAGTGTCCCACTCTGGCTTACTTTGAGCTCACTTGCTCCTACTTTTTATCTCTAATTAGATAAAAGGTATTACAAGCCACCCCTAGGGAAACTCACTTTATATGTCACTAGGATTGTGATGGGATTAATGAGAGTTGCCTTCTACCCTTTATTCTCCTACAACTACTTGCTTTGTTTAAAATTTTTTTATTAGAGTGAAGGTTTATAAACCATATTGTTTTTTATTCCCACCTCATCCTACAACTATTTGGTGTATCAGGATCTTCGGGAACCATTACTTATCTTACACATTATATCATCCTATATATCTATTTTGGGGAACACACAATTAATTCCATGACATAAAGTGATTACATTTTGGAGATAAGAACAAAAAGTTTTTCTGTAAAAAATGGTACCAGTTGTGTGTTGTTTTGCCTTGGGAAAGAGTTTTGGTCTTGACATTGCATATTTGCAGCACCTGTCGATCATCCTCATGAGGATAAATGTATGTAGAGGCAGACAACAATATCTTTTTATTGGGTGACGGGTAAAGAGTTCATCATATTCCTTCATTTGTTGTTGTTAGATGTTGAGTTAGTTACCACTGAGATCAACTCTATGAACACCAGGTCTGAATCTTGTCCTATCCTGCACCATCCTCACAATCTCTGACATGCTCAAGTTCACTGTGATGGTCATTATTTCTCTTTGACAGGGAATTGCCAATAATTCAAATGGGGTTTAGAAAAGACTGTGGCACTAGGGATATAATTTCTAATGTTAGATGGATCCTGGCTGAAAGTAGAGATTATTAGAAGAATGTCTATCCATGTTTCATTGACTATACAAAGTCAATGATCCACAGTAACTGTGTGTATCACTACAAACTATGGCTAATATTGAAAAAGATGAGAATCCCAGAACATTTGATTGTGATAATATGAAATTTATACCTAGGCCAAGAAGCTGTTGGAAACAAGGAACAAGGAAATGCGGTATGGTTTAAAATCAGGAAGGTTATACATCAGGGTTGTATCCTTTCTCCATACTTATTCAATCTATATGTGGAGCAAAACTCATGAACTTGAACTCTATGAAGAAAACTGTGGCATTAGGATCAGAGTAAAACTCATCAACCACCTGTGTTTTGTAGATGATATAACCTTGATTGCTGAAAGCGAGGAGGACTTGAAACACTCTCTGCAGAAGATCAATGACTTCAACCTTCAATAAATTATATGGATTATATCTCAACATTAAGAAAACAAAGGCCCTTGCCATATAGGCAGCATCATAACAGATGTAGAAAGGATTGAATTTGTCTATTATTTCATCTTGCTTGGATCCATAATCAACACCTTTGGTACCAGCAGTCAGGAGATCAGGAAATGTATTACATTAGGAAAGTTCTGTCAGAAACCTCCCCCAAACAGTGAAGTGCAGTGATGTTAGTTTGAAGATTAAGGTATATCTAATTCAGGCCCCGGTCTTCTCAATCAGTTGCTATGCATCTGAGAGCTGGACAATGGATAAGGATGACTGAAGGTGAATTGATGCCTTGGAGCTGTGGTGTTTGAGAAGAGTACTAAATATCCCAGTCACTGCCAAGTGAACAGGTTTGTCTCCAAGAAAGTGCAGCCAGAATGTTTCTTAGAGGCAAAGATGGTGACGTTTCATCTCTCATACTTTGGGCATGTTGCTAGGTGAGGTTATTTCTAGGAAAAGGACATCATGCTTAGGAAGGTAGAGGGTCACCAAAAGAGAAAGATCCTCAATGAGATGGATTGACACAGTGACTGCAGCAATGGACTCAAGTGGTCAGAAGTGATGAGGATGGCAGAGGACAGGACAAAGTTCGGGTCTGTCGTTGACAGGGCTGCTGGAAGTTGTATTCAACTCAACAGAACCTAACAACAACCATAACACAGGATCGCTGAGTTGGAGCCAACTTGATGACAACTAACTTCATAGAACTAAATAAGAAGGTTGGTGCTTAAATCCCATGTTGAGGTATAGCGGAAGAAAAGTCTGGCTTGAGATCACAAGCACTGGAAAAATAGTACAGTTCTGAAACACATGATGTCAAAGGCTGTTGTTGTTGTTCTGTGCCATCGAGTCGCTGTGACTCATAGCAACCCTATGTACAAGAGCCCTAAACGCTGCTCTATCCTGTGCCAACCTCACTGTCTCCGACACACTCATTCCCACCACCCCAATCACAGAATCGATCCATCTCATTGAGGGTCTTCCTCTCCTGCACTGCCCCTCTACTCTCCCAAACATGATGTCACTCTCCAAGGACCAGTTCCTCCTTGCAACATGCCTACAGTATGTCATACAAAGCCTCAGAATCCTTGACTCCAAGGAGCATTCAAGCAACTTCAGCTATTCAGACTGAAGCTGTTTGTTCTCCTAGCAGTCCATGGTATATTCAACACTCTTCTCTAGCACCACAGCTCAAAGGCATCAATTCTCTTTCTATCATCCCTATTCACTGTCCAACTCTCCGATGCATAGCACATAATTGCGAAGACTATAGCCCGGATCAGGCACACCTTGGTCTCCAGTCTGATGTCATTGCTCTTCAGTACTCTTGAGAGGTCCCCCACAGCTGATGTTCCCATGTCTTGATTTCATGGCTGCTGGTACCAAGAATGTCGACTATGGAGCCAAGCAAACTAAAACTGTTAACTATCTCAATCTCTTCATCATCCATACTGATGCTGCCAATTTGCCCAGTGGTGAGAATCGTTGTCTTTTTGATGTTGAGCTTCAATCTGTACTGAAGGCTGCAGTCCTTGACCTTCTACAGCAAATGCTTCAGGTCCTCCTCAGTTTAAGCAAGCAGAGGTTGTTGATGATGCCACATTCCTCCTCAAGGAGGAATGCAGTGTCAAAGATGTAGTGTTCAAAATGTCCTTCCTGCCAGGCGTGGTGGCGCGCGCCTGTAGTCCCAGCTACTTGGGAGGCTGAGGCTGGAGGATCGCTTGAGTCCAGGAGTTCTGGGCTGTAGTGCGCTATGCCGATCGGGTGTCCGCACTAAGTTCGGCATCAATATGGTGACCTCCCGGGAGCGGGGGACCACCAGGTTGCCTAAGGAGGGGTGAACCAGCCCAGGTCAGAAACGGAGCAGGTCAAAACTCTCGTGCTAATCAAAATGTCCTTCCTAGCCATTGACTTTGCCAAATGGATGAGTGTGATCATACGTACAGGGTGTGTTACTCTAGCCACAAGGAGACTGGCTAGTCTCACCATTAAACTGAGCATATTCCCCAAATGAAAATTGAGAATCTCACCACCTGCAAAGAAGCAGCAGCAGCAATAGCAGCAAAGAATTCAGCACACATCCTTGGGGGCCAGAGACTCCTGCGTCACTCAGATCAGTGGCTACAGGAGCAGCAGCTGCAGCAGAGAACTAGAGACCCGATGTGAGACCGAGCTGACTTTGTGGCTGCTGTCCCATGAATCCAGAGGTAGGAACCTTTGTCCAAGTTTGTTGGAGGACAGCGGTGGAGGTGAGGACAGGGTGCATGTTGCTGTTGTTTTTATGTGCTGTCAAGTCACCTGAGACTGAAAGCCACCCAATAGACAAAAGCTCTGACCTCTACTCGTATCTTTTGAGCCAATTTCATCATCTATAACACACCTATGGCCATTTCCCCAGTTACTGAGTCACTCCATCTTATCCAGGATCTTTCTCTCTTGCACTATCCCTCCACCTTTCCAACCATGATGTCCCTCTCCAAGTACTGGTCTCTCCTGGCAAAATTAGATGAAGCTTCAAAATCTTTGCCTCCAAAGAGCAGTCCAGTTTCACCCTTTCCAGGACAGACCTGTTTGTTCTCTTAGCAGTCCAAGTTATGTTCAATATTCTTCTTCACCACCACAGCTCAAAGACATCAATTCTTCTTCTATCATCCTTGGTTCCTGTCTAGCTCTCTGCTGCATAGCAAGTAATTGTGAAGACCATGTCCTGGATCAGGCACACCTTAGTCTCTAGAGTGACGTTGTTGCTTTTCAGTACTCTGGAGAAGTCCCTGACAGTAGACTTTCCCAATGTAACTGGTCTTTTGATTTCCTGGCTGTGGTACCAAGAGTGTTAATTGTGGAGCCAAGTAAACTGAAGCTGTTAACAATCTCAATCTATTATAATGCTGCCAATTGGCTCAGTAGTGAGAATCTTTGCTTTCTTTTTGCTATGAGTCACAGGTGACTTGATGGCACATAACAACAACAACAACAATTGATTTTTCTGCAGATATAGTCAATCCAATTCCTATGTAGTCCATCAGGTAAAATCCATGTGTATATTTGACCTTTAATTTTTTAAACATCATGATAGATGGAGAAAGGATTGAAGTTGTCAACATTTTTTCATCTTGCTTGGACCAACACCCTTTTGCATTGGGGAAAGTATGCTGTTAGG